CTGCAAAGCTTCAGAGTACACGAATTTGACTACAATATGATAATACTTATTAGTTTCAGCTTCCAGTGGACCCAATTTGTGTCTGAATAAGTCTATGGAATGAAGTTGATTTGTGGCTTTTGAAAGCATCTTAAGTGATATTTTATTTTATTTTATTGGAGACGAGGTTGTGTTCCGTCACCGAGGCTGGAGTGTAGTGGCATGATCATAGCTCACTGCATCCCTGAACTCCTGGGTCAAGCAATCTTCCTGCCTCAGCCTCAGAGTACCTGGAACTACAGGCGCAGGCCACCACACCAGCTACTGTTTTGCTGTTTTTTTGTAGGCAGGATATCACTGTGTTGCCCATGCTGGTCTCCAACATCCAGCCTCAAGCTAGCCTCCATCCTAGGCCTGCCAAAATGCTGAGATTACAGGGCTGAGCCACACGCCGGGCCTCCAGTGATATTTCAGATTCTAGGAAGAATCTGAGCATCACAGACTCTGAACTAACACGTTTCGAAACACCGGGGCGATGAGTTGCACACAGTACCCCCAGAAATGTGATAAGCCCCTTCTAAGAAACGAAGCCCCTCTTCTGCACTTGGACCTAGTGTCGCCATTCCCCAGCGTCCCTCACGGTGGCGCTTCACCCTTTCTCCGGGAAGCCTGACGGGGTCGCCACGCCCACGCACTCTGAATCTCCGGGAACTACATTACCCAGTATGCTCTCCGCGGAGCGGAATTGTCTTTAGCCAATGAAGCCTCAGAACAGAGGCGCTTTTCCAGGGGCATATAACGTCGGGTCGGGACTTCCGGCGTCCATCTTGTGACAGCCGTTTTGGCTTGTCTTGGGTGCATTCCCCTGCGTGAGGTCTGTAGCGATGTGACAGGATCGAAAAAGTCCAAGAGGAGTGGTTGTGCTTGCTACGCAGAGGCGGATCTGAGGCTGGGTGAGGCGGGGCTAGGGACCGCCGTGACCCGTCCCTGCCAGAGTCCGATGGCGGCGGCCCAACCCAGGGAGCCGGCTCAGGTAAGTGCCGTGTCATCCGGGCCTCACCCGCCCTCACGGGACTCAAACAATAAGGCCCATTGAGGAGCTCCCGGTCGAGTCCCTGCAGCCCAGGTCTCTGCCCTCCACAGTCAGGCGCCCGTGGTGGGGTCCCTATTTCTGCCATGAAATGGGATGCGGTGTGGGAGAGTGTGACAGGCAGAGGGACCTGCACGTGCAAAGGCTCGGAGGTGCGACTGAGCTGGGAGGATTCGTAACTCGGGGACGTTTTGTGTCGACTGGGAACAGAGATTGTTAGGCAGAGTTACTCTTGAAGCAGCATGCTGGAGGTTGCACTTGCATTTTGAGGACTCGGGCAGCCGTGGAGAGTTTTGAGCACAGGAGGGACTGTATATATGATGTTGGGATTTTTAAAATTTCCCAAGGGATGTTCTGAAGCAGAACAAAGTAGAAGGAAGCGATGAGGACGTTGAGGCATTGCGAGGTTAAATATTTGTTGAAAGTCATATAGCTCGTAGGAGGTGGGTTTTCGCAGAGAACTCACCGGAACGACGAGGTTAGAGAGGAAGCCTGTGGTCACTTGGTTCCGGAACTAACAGTAGGTTACAGAGAGGCCTGAGTTCACGGAATCCCACCATGGACACAATCCTGAATGGCCTTGCCTTTTGCACGTCTTCTCATG